TATTGATATAACATCATTTCTTTTAGTGCAGAAAATTCTGATTTGTCTATTTTCAATTAGAATTTCAACTAATACAATCAGATCTCTTTTTTCCAGTGCAGCTAAATATTCTCTCGTAAAAAGAATACGACACGATACAATATAAATAATGTACTCGCGTAAGGCTCGAAATTCGACAGTCATCGACAGTGTCGAATGGACACATCCTCTCTTTCATCAAAGTGAGCTCTTTCGGGCCTTCATTAAGATTTCTATAGATGACTCGGCTAGCGTTAACGGTCTTCTATCCCAGTTCAGAAATTCTTACACTCTAATCAATTTTAGTTAGATGGAAAATTAATAAGAAATTAATAATATTAACGTACAGGAGTTTGGTTTAGTGAACAAAGTTAAAATAAGATTCATTCAATTAATATAAAATTTTCTAACTATATTTGGTTATGTCAATTAAAGGATTTATTTATCTGTATCTGAACAAAAGATTTAATTGATTCAATCAAATTTTGTTTGATTCAATTAAATTCTCAACGAAAACATATTATAAGCGAATCACATTAAAGAATTAAATATCTTTCTGTTTGCATGCAATTTTCTTGCTTTTCGACGTTTCGAATATTTCGGTGTTTGTCCGAGAATGATTTACCAGCCAGTGCGACCGCGGATGAGTTCCGCGCAATTGCATTCTATAAAAGCATAGTGCGGAAACGAAACGCGCGGTCGGTCGATTCTGGTCGAATCTTTCCAATTTATTTTCCGGGGATGATTCTCGGCCGTGAATAGCGAGCACGCGAACCATTTTCGAACCATCGATTTGTATTTGGATTTCATTTATAAACCGGCAAAGTATAAACCCAGCTGGAAATATGCTCGATGTCGCTGACCGTGTCACACCGAAGATTAATCGCGCTTCCCAATGTGAAGACAGGATAAATCTCCCTTATCACGTTTACTGAAACGAGATGGATTCCCGTCGACGAGAGATATCGTCGATCTACGAAAATAGATTGGTGGAACTCAAATGACGGAAGTTAGCGTTTTTATCTTCGTACGTCCGTTAACGGCAATTTAACATTCCGTTCTAGTATTTCTCATTTTGAGAAGAAATGATCGTTTTACGTAAACGATCATTTCTTTTCAAAATGCAGATAAATTTAAATATATTTTTTACTTTAATATAATTTTTCTCATACGATAATTTTTCTCAAATGTAACAAGTATTATACCAAGACACATTGTATAACTGTATATACACTCTAAATTCTTTCGCACGTTCTTTTTGGGAGTTCTTGTATATCAAAATATTAATATTTTGCTATGTACAAATATTACGAATTTCATATGAATTTTGTAAAAAGGCTCAAGCAATGAAAAATCCTCGAATACGGTTAACCCCGTGCATTGCATAATAAATTAGTCCGCTGTATACGAGTCTGCCGGGAAATACAGCAGAGATGTACGTTGGTGCGGAGTTTCCTGCCGGGAGATTTCTTGCCAAATCATTTGAACTTGCAGCAAATTGCAACAAGTTTGGCTACGGCTACTGAAACTTTCAAGACTCAGCAAAAGACAATAAAACAGTTGGACGTGATTAGAAATTGAAAGGGGCGAAGGACGCGAAGATGTTGCCTCGTGACATAAGAGTGTGATAAATCTTGGGCGATTACTGCGAGAAGTTTTGCGGATTCTTGCCAGAGATCTAAAAAATTATAGTTTTATATTTTCCAAGTTTTTTTTTAATAAAATTGAAAAAATCTCTATTGCTTTCTCTCTCTTTTTTCTTTTCTCTCACATGTATAGATTTGAATAAATTGTATTGAAAATTTAAAATTAAAAATTTGATTAGAAACACTGGTTGGTTTCTGTTACTTGTTTTTGAATACAAACGAATGATAAAATACTGAATTAATAAAATTGCACTCCCAAGTCAATATCGAACAAACCACATGGCAAAAATATAAAAACTAAAATTATGTTATTATTATTACTTGAATCATGATTAAATATTCCTAAAGAGAATAAAATTATGAACTTGGGTACATGTGGAATTTTGTCACGTTCATCAAATTAAATAAAAAAAAGATCTTTTTGAATTTTTTATGTACAGAAATTACGTTAATTGTACAGCTATTTAAATGTCAAACGGAGTATTTGAGGAAAATCTTTTTATAGAGAACGTTTTTGACGGAGCATATTCTCCATTGTCCGCTAAGTATACCTACGGCAATCGTTTATTAAACGACGAAACGCGACAAGAGATCCCTGGATCATTGCAATTTTTTTCCGTCGCAGGTGCTGTCGACGGAAAATCAACGCATAACCGACGTTTCTCTGCCGCATCGATTCGTTAGAGAATATCCGTAACGAAGCGTGCGCAGCGTGTTTCGCCCTTTCGGAGTTATTATCGCGGCGGCGTGTCGCATTGCAAACCACAGCTATCGTTTTCCATTACGCCGTATAGACGTAACGATCTGAACAATGCTCAATTAACAAGGTATGCACACGCGAGTCGAGCCACGCGCAGCTTTTACGAATTGAATCAGAGTGTAGCGTAGTGATGACATCGATACATCAATCCGTTCTACAAAGGCGCATAGGTACACGTACAAATTCGAAAGGTTTGAAAGACAAACGTTTAAAACATTTCAATTTAGAAAACGAATGTCGAAAGGGACGAATTTTTATACCATTAAAATTTGTATCTGTCGCGTTAACCCTCGCGTCCACACTTCTCCTCTTTATAATACTGAAAAAATTGGTGACTATCTAGAAAAATAGATTTTCATTTTATGTGTAAAAGGGGACAAGAATTAATCCCCAGTTAATTAAGAGTTTCACGTTTTTCTTCATAATTTTTCTCGTTAATTTTTAATTAAATATTTAAAGTATATATTTAAATATTTAATAACTAATTTAATATAATCGAGCGACACTTTTTTCTGTTTGATTTATCCGTTTCACAAAAAAAATGCATCAAATGGTACATTTTTTTATCAATAAATTGATGAATATTCACCGATAATATTTTTCGCGTGTGTGTATACATGCATATGCTGAGACCCACACGCATTCGTTTAACTTCTCCGCGACTGCGTGATCAAACTTATGATATACTTCGTATAAAAGAAGCTCGTCATTACTCACAGTACTTACTCCATTTCTTAAAACCTGATCGTAATTTTCACTCACGACACGACATGAACATAAAATAACCTCATTTTCGTTTCGTATACTCATTGAGCATACATGGAATTTGATCGGTTCAACCGTTATTGAGATAGACGTGAGACAATTCTCCTCCTCCTCCTCCTCAGTTCTATTGCTCGTGGCTGAGCGTTGTAATTTCTCTCATATGCCTGTGGTGCGCACGACGCTGGTTGTACACAGTCATATAGACCTATACACTGAAAAAAATGCATGTAATTTCACATGGAAATTACATGCATTTTTTTCAGTGTAGTTTAACGTCGATTCCGACGAAATTTGGTTAGAGAAGTGCTCTTGGCAAAGGTACTCTCGGTAAGTTGCAGTTTCCTTCCGAGAGGAGACACGAACATATGAAAATATTTTTGATTCTACCGGGATCTAGCATAGCAAACTAGTGTACTGTCTACTCTGCCAAGCTCTCAAGAAACAGGAATAGTATGATACAAATAGCGTCGATAGCATTTAATTATTTATATTTATAGTATTAATAGTATTGTATACAGGGTGGACTATTTTAATATATCAAGTCGATTTTCTCAAAATTTGAAAATTTAAGGCAAAAATGTTTCAGACAAAAGTTTTATAGTTTCAAGGAGGAAAGAAGTTAGTGATCTTGGTTGACCTTGAGAAGGTGTACTTAAGGTTAGATCAAGATTACCTAAATTTTTTTAAAAGGAACTTCCCATTTTTCATTGCATATTCTTGCAGATTGCCTCGAGAACTTTTCAAAGACTATGATAAAATATTTTTTTATTAAGTACTTTGCGAGTTATAAGGCTTGAAAATTACGACACCGCCGGCATTACCATTACACAAGATGTTCGACCGACAGCTACAACCTCTTGAATGTTGTTTAGGATGTAGAAAATGGGGTTCCATTAAAAAAATTTTTTGGTAACCTGACCTTAAGGACATCTTCTCAAGATCAACCAAGGTCATCAACTTCTTTTTCCCTTGAACCTATAAAACTTATATCTGAAACATTTTTGCCTTAAACTTACACATTTTGAGAAAATTGACTGGATAATTTAAAATGGTCCACCCTGTATAAATAGTAGTATTTTTAAGAAGGAAGTGCGGTACAATTCTAGTTTTATATAAAAAAATTTTAATTTTAATACACGTTTAATAATCCGTGTCAATATTGCAGAGTACAATTATTAAACTATTAAAATTTTTATTTAAAAAGGATTAAATAATTTGCGTATAAAATTTATTAGTAATATAAATAAAAGATAATTTTTATAAACCTGTTCCTTTAAATGTTATGTTTTAATTCATAAAATATGTTTTTCACATTGATTTCGTATTACATTTGTTAAGTTAAACCCCCCTCTCCTCCCCACAAAAAATCAATGACACCTCTATATCAGAATATCAAACTCAACCAAATAAATTTCAATCGTGAGGGGAACAGATCGAAGACATAAAATATATAATTCTAAATGGTAAAAATAGTAATAAACGACAAACAACAAATTATGCTCAAGTTTATATGTTAAAGCAGATACAATGGAATATTGTAAACGTATAATTGAAATTTTATACATCTACATTATATATATATGTACATATATACATATAATCTAAGCGCGCGCATGTGTGTGTGTGTGTGCGTGCGTGTGTGCGTGCGTATGTATGCGCGTACGTAGGAGCACGATGTGTACATTCACTCACATATACATGATTCATATATTTATACATGTATATATCAATGTATATTAGCAGATACATATAATTTAAAATATATATTGTATATATTTTTAAAACTGTAATAATAAATACATATAATAAAGCGTCAACAGACGTCTATAATCTTCTAAAACAGGTTCTTCTTTTTAACTGCGAGGATCATTCAACTATGCAATATTGTATACCTGTAATAAAAAAAACAATACATATTACATCGATCCTCTATTATAATAATAAAATTTTCATACTTCTGATTCGCCTTTCTACCGACTCTTACCTGGAGTTACAGATACTATCCAATCGATATAAGAACCTACATTCATGTTTATAGCAGGTTCGTTTGAAGCACAGCCGATACCACCAGAAATAATACCAACCAAGAAACTTCTATGTTTGATATCCTCCCATGAAAGAGGACCGCCACTATCCATCTATGTCACACAAATAGAAAAAAAAGGCATCTGTTACTTAAAGATAGTTTTGCATCACAATTCTTGAAAAATACATTTTGTACATTTAATTGGCATTTAAATTCACAATAAAGAAACTATTCTTCACCTGACATGTATCCTTTTCCGGAGTAAAAGTACATAAGTTATTGCTGGAACTATCTGGGCATTTTTCGGGTTCTATTACATTTAAATTTACTTTTTGTAGCGTATTGGATTTCCTGCCAGCAAATTCCAGTAAACCCCAGCCTAAAGATTAAATGATGTTAAAACAGATAATTATATTAGTAACTATGAAAATACTCGGGAAATGCTAACCCAACGCAGTGACGTAACTATTATCGAACGAATCTAGTATATGTTGAAATGGTAAGCAGACCGGACTAACTTCAGCACTAAATTCGATGCTTTTAGTAGTCTCACAAACAGCTATATCATTATGACCAATTTTGGTAAAATCATATTCAGGATGAATAATACATTCGGATAGCGAATACAGCTTGGTTGCACTGGTTTCGTTACCTATACACAAAGTATATTGTACAAATTTAGTATAAACTCCGATATTAAATTCATATGTACCTTACATTATACTGTAAAAATCTTATATTAACAAACGATGCTTATTTCATTACATTCATTAGTTTTTACATATAAACGGTAATGTTTCAAACTCTATTTATATTAAATGTTACTTCATTATAAGCTATTCATCCCTTGTAACTTTGAATAAAAAGTTTCAATTCAATAAAAAATTGAGTATTATATTTATGATCAAATAAAAAAAAATAAAAAATTACATTTGCTCTCTCTTCCTATGAAAAGATCTTTTTTCTATTAACAAAAAAATCGTAAAAATTTCACCTCGTTAACTCTTTTTCAAATAAATTTGTATTACAAACAGAAAATAGTTATGCAATTTAATTTTACATTATTGCAACTGTAAACACAAATTTCATTTGCTTAATATCCTTCAAATATTTGTAGTCTTTAAATATTATTTAGATGTGTATATCTTATCAACGATTACCCATGGTCACATCATGTTCACCAACAACTATGGCAATCTGACTAATGCTTCTGTTGAGTACGCAATGGGCTGCTGTTATACAATGTTGTTCAGATATTATAGCAGCACCGCAAAATATGTTTTTCTCAAGAAGATCCACAATCCCAACCATCCAAGGATATTCATTTACTTTGGTTTCCGTACCGCCTACTATTCTAGTCTAATAATATTGTAAATAAGCAATATAAATAATATTTATTAATACTGAACAAATTAGTATTTGTAATAAATAGTTATATAGTTGATTAAAGCCAAATTACAAATAATACGGGAAAAAAACAGCTAAAAATTTCACTGATTCAGCAAATCTACAGTCGTAAAATACGGACAGTCAGTTATCTATGTTAAAGTAGCAAAATTGACAGCTGAATGACATTAGCGATTTGTTAAACCATCTTTATTACAGTTATAGATGTTGAATTCGCGCAGTGGCTACATTTCCACCGTGCATTTAGGCCGCGGCCTATACAATAGATGTTCTTGTTTATCCTATAGGTTAAACAAAGACACCTCTTATATAGGTCGCGGACTAAGCGCATGGTGTAAACGTAACCAGTAAGCTGTAGCTTTGCTGTACCACCCAATCTATTTTTTTGCGTGAAGCAATAAATAAGAAATAAATAAAAACTTTCCAATAAATAAGTAGCATTTCATAAAGTTTAATTTAAAACTTACCACTTTTTTCCTACCACACTGACAGGTATCATTATTTGTATCAGTTTTAATTGTACATAAAAATCTACCTTGCGAGTTAAATGTCGAGACAAATGTTATAGTTAGATTAAATCCTTCAAAGGCAATTGTTTTATTACCATAGTACATAGATATAGAATATCCATTATTAACAAGAAATACATTTTCTTTGTAGTTACCATACTGCAAAATTTATTAAATTATTTACGCGCGCGCATGCGCGTCCTTTTTTCCTTTTTCTAATAACTTTGACAATAATTATAATAATACAAATTCTGAACTTGAATAAAATCCTTATATGCTTAAAAACCTAATTAAGATATATGTATATGTATGTCTAAATTTAAAACAAAATTTATATAACAAACTTACTAGCTCAAGAGAACACGTTGCTTTGATAATAGTGGCGCTGTAAAATTGCCAAATGTAATTGTTTTTACCTACATATGGATCCGGAAAGTTATCATTATATAAATAAAGTGTTTGTCCCTCTTCTAAATTCACCTCGTAATATTTAGATTCAACTCTATTTAGCATCAAAAGAGACAGCACCAATCCGAATAAAACGTTGACTATAATAATTACACCGCTTTATAATTACATATACTAATAAAACTCCGTATTAGTATAGTTTTCAATGGCTGCGTTCAGCAGACTCAACAGTTTTGCAACCGTTTTATGATTATCTGCTGAGATAGGACCATTCTTCTAGATCTAAAAGTATGATCCAATTAGCGCGAAGGAAACTTATAACAGTTGCAAAACAAACGTTCTGCTGAACGCACCCAATGTGACATTTACGACATCTCAATTCGATAATATTAATTGATAAAATTCATCATTTCGTTTTGTTATCAACACGTAAATGTAATTTTTTTTATGTACAATAATATTAAAATGCATGAAATTGAAGATTTCAACACATCTATACTTTATGTCTTATGTATTGTTATGCATTGTAAGCAGTATGTGTGTATGTTATATTATTTATATTATATTTTTACTTATATATTTACTTATATTTTTCGTTACACAATGAGTGCTTACATTATTATACTATCGAAAAATGTCCGGACGTGGAATTTTAAATTGCACGATATTTCGATTACCATAATTCTGTAAAAAGATCATCACAGGTAAAAAATACAACACAAGTATTTTAAAGTTTGAAACTTGCGCTTTAGCATGCTCCAGACGCTTTTAAAAAAAATTTGTATCTTAACAGTTTTGTGTCTTAACAAAGACCACTGTCATAGTAAACGGTTGGTCGTTATTGCGTGTCCAAGACAGACTATTAGGTAATACCTTTTTATTATGTTTTCTTTAATGTTTATTTCCTTTTGCGTTCATAATTTATCCTATGACTCTGCGAAAAATAAAAGAATTAAGAATTAAAAAAATATTTCAAAACAATTTACTTTTTGTAAGAACTATGAACCTTTGTCATAAAAAATAGAAATAAAATAAGATAAAAGTCATATAAAACAACCACACAAAATATAGATTAATTTTTTAATTAAATATGTACTATTTAATTAAAACTGTGAATTTTTATGTATAATAATAAAGTAACACACAACTCAAATATTACAAAGTAAAAATTTAATAAAAATTATAATATTATATAATAAACATGTTAAAATTAATTTTAAGAAATATTTAACGATTCGAGTTATTGCTGTGTCACAAAAAATTTATATTATATATATTGCAGTTCGAAGGATAACTATTGTAAAAACAGGTCGTATATAAAACTGCTATATCGTACGTTAATATTTTTTAATTTGCAGTCATAGGATAAATTAAAAACACAAAAAGTAATAATTAAGGAAAAAAACATCAAAAAAGATATTACCTTCCATTTCTTGAACATGCAATAACCAGCCATTTACTATGATATCAGTCACATTTGCTGCTATTTCAAACTTTAAGATCTTATACCTTCGATTCTTCGGCTTTGGTTCTTAAATGTTACGTATCACATTTTACGACGTCAATCTCTACAACTTAATACCAAATTTTTCCAAGATCCACGAGATACATACTGGATCCCCCCTTATAAGCTAAATTACATATGCTTTTTTTAAATTGTAAAAAAATATATTGTGTAGAGAGAAGTATTTCTTTCTGAAATATACCTTATCTTTTTAATATATAAAATGCTATTGTTAATTTTTATTTATGTAGATAATTTAACCAAATATTTAACATATGTACAATATTTGAAGTAATGCATTCGACTAAAATGATGCATTTAACAAACGTTCATCTAATTTAACATCCGCATAATACCAATATTTGTACTTGTAATAATCGATAATTTAATCGAATTATTAATACGCGATTATCTTTTTGACAATTTATTTGTAACTATAGATAACAATCGAATTATTAAAAATAAAGAAAAACTCCTTGACTCATTAGTGTTTGTGTTCCATTTTATTTGTGTTCTATTTATGTTCCATTTTATATAACTTAGTACACATACCTATATATAATTATTTCGTGCCACCCATATGTTTCTTTGTATACGTATCAACAATGGAAAAAGTTTGAATAGCTGCTTGTGTGTTACGTTAGCCAAAACATACTAAATTCTTAGTTCATTAAAAAGATAAAATGCTATTCTGACAAATAATTATTCGCTGTATGCCAGATGCGTCTGTTTTTATATCGATGCAAAGATAAGGTAAAACTGATAACGACGATGTCTCTGAGACATCTCATCTTTTACAGTTGTAGCTTGCGAATAAATCAGAGATGGATATAAAATATTATATAAAGATAATAATGAATTTAACGAAACGTAAATAAAAGCAGCTCATGTATAATATAAAATATATTATAAAAACTTTATCGATTTTATTGAAATTAAAAAAATGTTCTGCATAAAACATTTATCATGTTTTTGCAAAAGGTAGATATTATTAAGTTAATATCAAAAACATAAATACGCAAAGATTTTATTCCAAATTTAAAATTTAAAAATCTATTTCTTTTTGCCGAAAATGTAGAATAAACCATATCCGTTTTAATACACAAAACCAAATTAAAAGGAAAAAGATTCCTTTATGTTATATTTTATAAACTTCTGAAAATTTCTGAATATTTCTCTTTCTCTCTCTCTCTCTCTCTCTCTCTCTTTCTCTCTCTTTCCAAGATCTCGCTCTTTTTTTCCAAGATCGTCGTCTTTCAACATATCTTTAATGATAGACATTTTAAAAAGAATTTTATATACACATAATTTAATTATTAAATTATATAATGTTGGAAAAAAGAATATACCAGAATAAAATTACCAATAAAAAATTAATGTAAAAGTATGTATCTACAAATTCTGATTTATTAATCTATAATAGCGATAGCCTGCAAAAATCCAGTAAAAATTTTACAAGATATTGCCTTATATAATAATTGTAAATTATTTCAATTTTATTAATATAAATTAACGTTTGTACGTATACATACGAAATATAACACAAAGAAAATGTTTTCTAATGTAACAAATATATCTTTCAATGTTTAATGCATTACAGTTTATATACATATATGTACATTTGCTGAATTATATCATTAAAATGATAGAAATGGTAGTCGTAAATGTTTCATTAATTCATAACTAATTTAATTAATACTAATTTTAACTTTCACGTACCTTCTTTTATATTCTCGTAGAATTTCCAATGAAACTCCATCGTCAGGACACACTAGTTTATCGTAGCAAATAACTTTCGTAAATGATCAATATAGTGGCTTGCACCGCGTATGTGTATCGTATCAAGTGTTTTACTGACAAAAAGCATAAAGAAGCAACTGACGCTTGCAATGAACGTAGGTCGACTGTTCTATAATTTTGCGCACGATGATACATATTCGTTTCTGTCAATGCTTATGTATTTATCGGTTCTATACTTCTTTTCGTATACGTAATAGTAAACTTATTATCGATAGAAAATAACTATAATCTGCGTGGAAGAAACGCGTTATCGGAGCTATTGCATCATTCTATCCTTGTTTTACGTCTGCTGAATAATAAAGATGACACGATAGTGCTGATAGCGTGCTCCTTGAACGCAGTTTTAAATTATTGTCTGTTAGTGTCTTTAATCCAAATAAATCCTCGAAAACTTTAGGAAGAAATCGTTTTTCCGATATTTTTTCTACCATATTTTTCTACATTTTTTTCTTTTAAGAAAATTTTATTTTTATTGTCCTTTATGTGAATGATTTCATTAAGTTACTAATTTCTTTTACTTTAAGAATTCTAATAGTAAATCATTTATGAATAAACAATAATAAGATTGGAATTAAGACCGTTTTATTTATTATTTTATTTATTAAAGTTTCTCTCTCTCTCTCTCTTTCCAAAAAACATTGAATATTAATTAAAAAAGAAACTACATACGTGATATTGTAACATAATTTATTGTTTTATATATGTATTAATATATCGCAAAATTGTATTGTTGTATTATAAAAAAATATGCATATATACAGGGTGGCCCACGTAAAGTATTACAAGCTAATAACTTTAAAAATATTTGTCCTATCAAAAAGTTGTTCATGAGAAAGTTCATATATTCGAGAGGCCTTTCTAACTATGTAAACAAAAATTCCTCCTGTCCCTCCTTGAAGAGAGACGGGGGATAGCTTCAAAGTTTCAATTGCGAGCCCTGTAAAATTACATATTTGGATTCTACGGGGAAAAACAAGTAAACTTTGTCTGAAACCTTTTTTTGGAAAATGCTCCTATCAAAAATTATAAACATTTAAACTTTAATGTAGAGTGCATTGAAATTAATGATACAGTTTTTCTGTTTTTTTTTTATTTTATTAAATGTTCGAACTGTTTGATCATTAACATCTAAACATTTATTAATTCTTTTTACAAAACTTTGCCTAACTCTAAACAATATTTCTGGATTCACCTTAGCGCAAGCTGTTATACGTATTCTTCGTTTTAAGTCTTCTTTCGTCGTAAATGATTGAGATTGGTTAAGTAATGATTAAGTACTTTCCGAATTATGCAGCTTGAAAGTTACAGTACCGCCGGCGTTATCCATGTATCTCATCTGTTAATCGGCCAGATCAGTGATCGGTCTTGCCTTAGTTGGCGGATCAGTCCCGGTCTTGTGTTAATCGGCCGGATCAGTGATCGATCTTGCCTTATAACTTAACAAGTGCTTAACGAAAAGTAACTTTATTATAGTGTTTTGGAAAGCTTTCGAGATAAGCTACAAGAATATGTAATAAAAAATAGGGATTTCCATTTAAAAAAACATTAATGACCTTGTCAAAATCACATTTCCATCATGTGTCCCCTTTCAAGCCCTGCAACTTTCGTTCCAAAAATTTTTCAATAAAATCATCGATTCGCAAGATAATCGACCATATCACTTAAAATGAAACATCCTGTATATGTATAAAAAAGATAGAAAATTTATAAATGAATAATTTTTTTTATATGAGATAAGAGTATTACAAGTATGTATAGACGTACTTTGTGTGTAACAAAAATACTAATATTTTGTACTTCATTATGACACAATGTACATCTAGTAGTACAAATATATCTAATAATAAAAATAAATATCTTACTGTTACTGATTATTGAATCTCAGCTTGATCAGTTTCAGTACATCCGAAAAACCTGTCATTTATGTAATAATATATAAACCAAGACAAATCTTCTATTTTCTTGTATAAAATAATTTAAAATAATTTTTTTTAAGCAACATTCTATCATTAAATTCAAATATAGGCCAAAAAGAACCTATTGAAAGAATTTTTTTGGTGAAAAATGGAAAAAATCGAATTTCTTTTCTCAATTTTATTTTTCCGGAAACTTAAGAACACTTAAGAGAGCACATTTTAAAATTTTCCATATTTTTCAGAAAAAACCGGAAAAAACCGGAAAATGCAGGTTTTTTCCTCGATTTCATTTTTCCGGAAAATTAAGAACTCTGTTGTCTATCGATAATAAGCTCATTATTACGTAAACGAAAGATAAAAACGAGTACACGCATTATCATCGTGGCAATATTTTACTTTACACAAACGTCACAGAAAAATGTAACGAATTTAGTTATGTACAAAATAAAATAATAGTAAAAGTTTACATCTAATAAAGATAAAGAGATGCTATATATATATATAAAGATTTTTCATGCACTTTATATTTGTAAAGATTTTCATATTTCATACTTACAGTGATTTTTATACTTTACTGCGCGTATATTATATACGCTATGGTAGATGCAGGGTGTCCCATTTTAAATAATGCATTAAGATTTCTCAAAAGCTATGGTAGAGACGGAAAAATGTTTCAAACAAAAGTTGTATGATTTGGAGGGGAACATAAGAAGGTACCATTGATTTGACCTTGAATGGCATCGTTACGGTCATCGATCTTTTCAAATGGAACATCATATTTTTGATTCCAGAATCTAATAGCTGATAGGAAGAGCTTTCCAAAACACTATAATGAAGTTCATTCCTCGAACCGTACAATCTTTGTTTGAAACATTTTTTCCGTATCTACCATAATTTTCAAGAAATTTTAATGCATTATTTAAAATAGGACACCCTGTATAACAGTACATTTAATTAGTTTTTAATAAAAAAAATAAAATAGGTAAATTTTATCAATTCATTAAATTTTCAAATTAAGTTTAACACACTATAGATTTGTAACATAGAATCATTTAGATATGTAAGTTGATCAGTCTTAATACACCTGAAAAAATGTAATTTATACCTACTTACTTTTTTAAAAAGGGTTATAAAAGGCGCTAAAAGTACGTTCTGTTCGAAAAGAAAACTATTGTACCAAATTAAAAAGTAAAACCAAGTGGTACTATTTTTATTATTTACTTAATTCCAATGATATATATCATTTATATAAAAGATATTTTATATCAACAATTGAGGCTAATTTAAATCCCATATCAAATTAAATTTATAATGAAACCTACGTATGTATCTTTGTATTCCTATTGAAGGATTTTCCTATTCCAATCTAAATGGCTTTAATTCTTCTTAAAAGAAATTATTATAACACAATCCATTCGAAGACATTTTCTCTTTCAACCAAAGTTACTTAATTCTTAAATAGTTACTTAATTCTTCTTTAAAACATTATTATCGAAACATTACATCACAAAATTGCGTTACCTTACTTAATACAAGTGTTACCACAAAGAATTAATGAAGTAACAGTATAAAATGACAATATAAAATAAAAATATTTAACTGAGAATCTCTAGCTAGACCGTTAAAAGACATACCTATGTATCTCCTGTTAAAAAAATTTAATTTAAATAGAAAAATTATTACTTACTTGCTTGCTCCATTTCTTAAAACTTAATCCTAATTTTCACTTACGACACGACGTAGACTCAAAATAACTTAGCTTCCGTTTCATTTATTCATTGAGCATACATGGAATGTGATTGGTTCAACCGTTATTGAGAAAATTTGGTTAGAAGTGTTAGGACTGAATGTACACAATCACAAAAATGGATGAAAAATATACTAATCGACGCGTTTTTTCGTGAAATGAAATTCCTGCAGAAAAGTGTCGCTCTGTCCCATCAACTGAGGCCCCTATTCTGTAACTGTTTTACACGCCTACCGACCGTTATCGGTGTCGCTGCGCAGATATTTTATATGGTAAAAAAGCTGCGCAACGACACCTACAACTGTCGGTAGGCGTGTAAAACAGTTACAGAATAGGTGCCCGAGATATTAATCGTTGAAGTTGACGACTTCAGATTAGAAAATCTGTCAACAGTCATGAAAAAGACTTTTCTCTGTTCTATGTGTAAAAAGTTATAAACTTTTGCATATCCAATATATTTAACAATTTGACAATACACTTCATAATACAGATTATTGTTAAAAAAAAAAACGTCGGATAAAATTATTAGTACACTCTATGTCATTTTTGTTTCAAGTAAATTTTTCTCGATAACTTCGGTCTTTATATAAGATTTTTTATTGTACGACGATATTCAGAAAATTATTCTTTATTTCACAAAACGATATATTGAAAATAAAAGTATATTTCAATAAATCGACGTAAATTGTTTACATTAAAATAGAATTTTCTATTCTTATATAGGATATCATGCAGCTCAAATGTCGAAGGATTGAGAAATGTAAAAGATAATGGACTTACTCAATGTTGCATTGTTGACACGCGACTGGTCCGTCTGCGACCTGAGTAATCGCAGTCGATTCAGCTTGCTTTGTTGCTGGTCCAGCTTGTGCCTCAATCTAGCGAGTCTGTCCTGCTGTGCTGGCTCCTGAAACGGTAAACAGTGCGTGAACGTGATCACTATAGACAATGAATATACAGTTAACACAATAAATGGATTAAGATAGGAAGGAAATTAAATCTATAGTGAATTCGGACATTTTCAACAATTCATTTAATTGTTTTATTTACTTCAAAAGAACTGAAGCCTGTTTTTGTTTTTCTGTTTTTGACTAGTTTAAGCTGTATTTCTTTCAAATAAACAAATTTTACTGCACGTTTAAATTTTTTTATTTAGGAAACTAAGCCGTTTAGGACACATGTTTATATGGACTTTTTTACTTGAAATAAACCAAAGAATCGCTCTGTTGAGTATGGCAACATACTTAACTAACACCCTGTATATGTATTGTTTCATTGCCAAAGTTGATTATATTATTTTATTTGCCATTAATTTCAGATACTTTATATAAAGCAGCCTTTAATGTGTACTAATCCAAGTGCGATTGATCAAATTCACCGTTAGTAACATTATCGCGAACGCAAATTCACATTTGCAAAACTATCTATTACAAAAGCTTAAATTTCAACAA